CATGTCTGTAATTCACAACACATTTTAAAACAAAGTGTTGTTTTAAAAAGTTATTAAACTCAATTGAAACTTTGAGGATTAAAATAATTTCATATCTTTATAATTCACAAAACATTAAAAACAAAGTTGCGAAAGTTTTAATTTTATAAAAAAATAAACTTTCGATATAAATTCATAAAGGAATCTTTTTATAGGCATAAAAATAATTGAATTTTTTTTAGAATTATTATAATTTAACAATTTTTTAGAATTGTTTTACTTTTATTCATTAGAATGTTTTTTTATTTATCATTTTGAATTAAAAATATGAATAAACGTTAAAAATTCTTATTTGTACATAGCTTTGTCACTAATAATTTTTTGTTGAATTCTCTCTACTTTTCCTAAAATTATTAATGCTTCATATTATTACTGTAGATTTTTGCCGATTGATTTTCTTAGATTTTCACAAGAATTTAACATAGGTTTGGTTTTTAAAATCTTTTTAGGTATGTGAACTACATTTTCGACCGGAGGTCATAAGGTGAGAATCGTCAGCTTTTGACAAAAAAAAGATGCCACAATTGCAGTTAAACTAAAAAAAATATATCTTCGTGATGGTGCTATTCCTAGAATTTTCCCAAACTGTCCCTCATATTTATCTTCATTGACTACTTCTAGAGAGTCACCAGACTCTAGGAGAATCCGGCTAGAGAATTCTTCTCTTAAAAGTGCTTTAAATTAATGATGACTTAGCATATAAAATGCAGAAGAAATTCCATAATGTTAATGATCTAGAAGGGAAATTAAATTTCCTTGGTAGAAATTACTGGAGTTTTGTTAGGCAGCAAGAGACACTTATTATATTCAGCATCATCAAATCCCCATATCCAAAAATCAATCTGTCTCTTGTAATTGAATCTGATTTTTGCAGTACATGTGTTTTGTAGAGATGTGAAAATGCATTCAATAGGGAACTATAAGATTCCTAAACATGTAACTGATCAAAATACTCTTGAAATTCTGATAGAAAGCATGACGAAAATGGACACAGAACATTAATATTATATTAAAATTGATAATGTCATTTCTACTATTGGTGCAAGAAGAATCAAACAAAGATTTTAATACAATTAAATTTATATATGAGCAGCTAAATTTAATGACACAAAATAAGCTTGATTATATTTTCTTCATTGTTATATAACTGCTCCCCTAAAGGGTACAGATTGTTAAGAGACAGCAAAAATATAATTTTACCTAGCTATTCAACCATTAAAAGACTAAGTTATCAACATATATGAATCCTTTGATTGAGCAACATGATAACAATTTTCTTATGTATATTAAAAATAAATTTAAGCTCCTAGTGCAGAAGGACATCACAGTATCTTTACCTGTTGATGAAATTCATCTAAAACCTTATTTAGATTATAAGGGTGGTAATATTGTTGGCTTATCTGACAACAGCAGTGAAGCTGCAGCAAATGCTTTTGCTTTCATGATTAGCAGTGTATTCTCACAATATAAAGATGTTGTGCATGTTATGCCAACTAAATGTCTTAAAGCTGAGAAGTTATTTGAAATAGTTAAACGCATACTAATTGGTTTAGAGGTGATAGGCTTTCAAGTATTATCAATTATATCAGATAATAATGCTATAAATAAAAAAGCTATATCTTTCTTTTGCAGTCCACCAAAGCTTTCCATTGTATATCCACACCCAGTTATAAAACCTCGACCCCTTTTCTTCCTTTTTGACTCAGTCCATATATTAATATACATTAGAAACAATTGGCTTGGTCAAAAAGATGCAAATAAATGCATGCTGTTCCCCAAATTTTGTCATAATGGAAATCATGAATTAGATAGTATCCAAAGTGCCCCATTTTCTACTTAGAAATAAATACTGCAATCCACTTAGAATGAATGAATAAACTTTTAGATTTCTCTCTGTATTCTGTGACTGGTTATAATGTTGGAATAGCATTTCTGGAAGAAATGTCAAATTAACAAAGGAAACCTTCACTGCTTTGCATCATACAACCTATGCATTTCTAGAACTGACCAAGTATTGCATAGAAGAACTGAAAATACTGTACATATTACCAGGCAAATTTCAAACTGGTCACCTTGAAGCAAGGTTTGGTCAATACCGCCAACTTAGTTGGGATCAGTATAATATCTCGATATGGCAAGTATTTGAGTGTGAAAAAAATTAGAATGCAATCAGCTTTAAAATTGAGCTTACCATTTAATCAGCAATACATTAAAATTGATTTAAAGAGTTTACAAGAACCAAACTGGGATGAAGTGACAGAGGAGGAAAACTTATATAAATATAGAATTGATGTTAAAGAGGATGATGTTAATAACTGTAGGGAAGTTCTACCTGTAATGCTATACTTAGTAGGTTATTGCTGTAATGCAGTTTTTAAGAAAATTAAATGCAATAGTTGCAAAGATTTAATATCTGGAAGTGTAAGAGATAATGTGGAAGAAATACCTGAAATAAACAGCTATTTTCAGGAGATTAATAGAGGTTCTCTATTATATCTTAATGATAAAACTATAAATTTTGTTCTCTATAATTATGTAGTCATTGATAAATTGATAAAAAATCATTCTTTTCTTCATTCAGTAAATCAAAGAAAAATAGCCATGCATATAACATTGAATGTTTTGGCAGATTATGAGCTTCTTTTTGATGTTGACACTTGTGATGAGGGTCACAATATAGAAAAAATACAAAGAATGTTTGTCTGGAGCTCTACAAATGCTCTTTTAAATCATTTTTGTTCTAGGGAAAATAATGATATTACAAATAACAAGTTAAGCAAAGAAAAGAAAATTTCAAACATTCAGCTAAATTTTGTATCAGTAACCTATTTTTCTGAAAGTATTATTTGATTTTTAAATCTATTTATTGTTTGTACCTAATTTATTTGCTTGTTTGTATTTATTTGTTTCTTATTTATGTTTAATTATTTTATTTATTCATCATAATTATTTTAATTTTTCATCATTTAATTATAATTTGTTTATTTAGTTATTGTTTGTTCCCTAATTCATAATTCAGTTGTTACTGTATTTGAGTAATAATGTCTTAATGATTACAAAAATTGTAACTTTACAGAATAATTATTAAAATTGAAATAAAAACATGCAAATTAAAACAATGCTGATTATGATTTATAAAAAATTTTCAAATGTGAAACAATTAAAATCATGAACGAATTCCAGTCTTAAAATTGTCTGTCTGTAACCTACTTTTCTATAAGTATTATTTGAATTTTAAATCTCTTTTTTGTATCAAATTTATTTACTTTGTTGTATTTAGTTTATTTGTTTCTTATTTATCATTTACTTGTAATTTGCTCGTTTGTTGGTTTCATAATTGAGTTGTTACTGTTGTGTAAAATAATAATCATTAAATACTTACGATATTGTAACTTTACAGAATAATTACTAAAATTAAGATAAAAACATGTAAATTAAAACAATACTGATTATGACTTTAAAAATGTTTTCAAATTTGAAACAAATAAAATAATGAACAAATTTCAGTCTTTAAAATTTAATGAAATGTAACATGATGTTTAATTTCTTTACTTTAACATTCAGCAACAACATTTTTTTTCTTATCGGTTATTTTTTTAAAATTAATATGAAATAAATTTCTGTATAAAATCCAATTCTGTTTCTTTCATTTATAAATGTATTTTTAAAAAATTTTCTAAAACCAATTTTTTTTCTTACAATTTTTCGTTACATTATGATTACTGTCTATTTCACTGCATGGACTACATTTGTGACGTCACTATCGAGTAGGCCTTCTATATCGGTGGTCACGGGATACCTGTCTACTAGGGAAGGCGGCTAGCCAATCCTTAGCGGTCAATTGTTCAGTTGCATTTGTGTTCATTCAACATTCACGGAGTCCACCTGTGGTTTATACTGCAAGAATGCTGGGAAGACCTTAGTTACACTTTCTGAAAAATAGCGTGTTATATAGCTTGATCAACAATTTGAACAAGGCCAGCACGCTCAAGCCCTCAGCCACGATGACTTGTGACTATGTGCTAGCAGAGCTATCGACGGCCACCAAGGGTTCCGTCTACCCAATTTCACTCACAAGGCTTGGGTCAACCTGTGACATGGTTTTCAGGCACTTTCTAAAGGTGCCGCACGATCGACCTCGATCCAGTCTAATAAAATCAAGAAGGCGCCTTCCTGACAAATCGACCATGGTGAGATTCGAACCAGAGCTTTATGGTCAGAATGCGAACGTTCTAACCACTCAGCCACGTATCCATATTTGGACACGTGGCCGAGTTAAACGACGTGGAAAGAGGACAAGCAATAAGTGAGGAATATTCAAAAAAGAACGAGACGAGATAATCCTAGATATGATCAACGGGATGAGAATAATGTGACTCTTAGGTTAAATACTGAGATTTCATGGAGTTTACATGGATCGACATGTACCTCAAAAGGGCCGAAGAAAAAAAAGGACCCGAACGTTGAGATAACAAAAACAAAGCTGATATAAATAGCCAGAATGCAACTAATAACTTATCATAACGATTCAGCCTGTACGTTTTTTTTATATAGCAAAAATGCAGAATCATTAATTTAATCTGCATATTTTAATGAGTTTTGCCGGACATCTTCTGCTTCTACTTGTTTGAACATCAGTCCATTTACATTGGTTTTGTTCACAGAAGTCCACAATATATTGTATTTTTTGTTTATTCGTCTCATCTGCTTTATCTGAATATGATGTAAGTAAACATCGAAATATACACCAAAATTACAAGTTTATTAATTAGATATTCTGTTACGGATTTCTTTCTATGTTAGTTTCTGGCTGTTTTGTTTTAACATTTTCTGGTAGGTAAGCAATTTCTCTATTTCAGCTGTGGACTATATTTCGGCAAACTTTTCAACTGATGACTCCACATTTATTTTTTTCCTCCGCCCTTTTTGTATTTGGCACTAACTTTTGACGCGTATTCCAGCTTCGCTAACATCTCCATTCCCTACCAAAAGCCAGAATCCTCATCCGAATTCTTTACCTCTTTCTTCTTTTGTTTGGATTCTAATTTTCTTTCCCATTGCGCGCTCTTGCGCCAACATCTCCACCTTCTCCTTACTGTTTCCTCCTCATCTTAATTACCGTCCTCTTGAATCTGTTCTTACCGCATCCACCATATTCACCCATTTGTGTTTTTCTCTTATCCCACTTGGTTAGTTTTTGATGTTTATCAGTTGTAAATTAAGCTGTTAAAACTCATAGCCATAAAACCTAAGAATACTTGACTTGTGTTGCAAGCACGTACTTACTTCGTCAAACTAGACTATCAACAAAGACAGACAAACATACGTGTATTCGTATGGAAGACAAATCTCGGCTGGTTAAAAAATAAAATCGGAAGTCAGTCGTAATTGTAGCTATATGTAACTAATGGGCACTTCAACGTGGTATAATGGTTAGAAAGCTTGTCTCGCTAGATCATTTACCACTGAATAACGAGTTTGATACTTGCTGGGTGCACCATACTTTCGGCCTTGGGCCACAACTAAGCTAATCTACAGGAAACACACCGGTAATAATCGGTGGTGAATTCATCTTTCCTCGCTGATCCGGAACAATTATTTCCGAAAGCAAAATTAAATATTTAAGATTTCCGATTTCTTTTCAGGATCTGTCTATATTTCTGAGATGAGGCATTATGTACATTATTTACATTATTCGGACTATTGTCCTCATCTTTGTCGCCATATTTATCACAACGTTTCAGCCGTTGTACGCTCCGGCCTTCTTCAGGTGGTTGGAATTTCGAACTGAACCCTTCATTTCGCTCACTGAGGTAGACTGTTTGATGGATGTCAGTTATGCTAATTTCCCTCTGAAAGTTCTCCACTGCCTTAACCGGGTATTGAACTCACACTCTTTGGGTCCTGTCACTGGATCTAACCAACGCCTTTACCCACTGTGCCATGTGTCCTTTGTTTTCAGGAAATTACATTTCTTTTTCACAGTTTTGGGCTAACGGGAAGTAAGAAGGCACTCATACTTGAAATCACAAAGAGACAGTTGAAATATCTGGGATACATTATAAGCAAGGAACGCTTGGAAAATGTAACTCTCACAAGTCGTCTTGAGAGAAAAGAACGGTAGTGGGAAACGAAAAACTTGCGTAGTGGGTTTGTGTGAAGAGAGGCCAGAACAAGGACAAGGAGAGAAATTGTTTTAAAAAAGTTCAATATTGCATAGAGCTACAAAAGAAAAGATGTGGTGGAGAGCCACGATCGCTCACGCCTGAAGAAAAACGGCAAATGATGATCATTCCTTATAAAGGAATAAAAAAAGACAAAGATGAAAAAATGTATTTAGAATTTATTCTATATCACGTTATCATACTTTTTATCCTTTCACACCAAGCAAGGTAACAAAGTCACTAGGACGCAGGGGTTACTGATTGTGAAAGAATATAAGAAAAACTAAAGCATTATTAAGGAGATGCTTACTTGGGAACTGATGACACCAGGAAGTCGTTAATGAAGATCAAGAAACAGTGTAGGACCCAGGATATAAACTTCGGGGACGCCAGCCTTCGTGAAAAAGGAACTGGATGAGAAGCCGTTTAAGACGACCTTTATTTCACGGTCTGACAGGAACTATTGTATTAAGTCAAATAATCGTCCTGAAATGCGGTACGAAGCTTACGAAGAAGGCCAGTATGACAAACCCTATCAAACCCTTTAGAGATATCAAGAGCCACAGCTCGAGCTTCTCCGTTATTGTGAAGTGCTTGGTAAACAAATTCAGTTATGGTCGTGAGCACATCAGTGGTAGATCGGGCAAAGCGGAAACCATATTGCTTGTCCGAGAGCAGATCATGGGATGTAAGTTGCTTAATCACTTCGACTTTGCTGAAGAGTGGTAGGAGACTGATAGGACAGTAATTAGATTATTCAGAAGGGTCGCCAGAGTTCTTGAAGACAGGTACAACAGATGAGGACTTCCAAAAGGCTGGAAAGCAGGAGTCTTTGAGGCAGTAGTTATATAGTTTGGAGAGGACAGGAGCCAATTGTGAGCACATTTCTTCAGAACAATGGCCAGTATCCCGTCTCCACCATTAGCCTTATGGGGGTCTAATTTAGAGACGATGCCCGATACTATTGATGGGGTTATGTGCATCTAGCTCAAAAGAACCTTAGTTCTAGGGGGAAAATCCGGTGTGGATACACCGGATGAGTCAAGCGTTGAATTGGATGAGAATTTCCGAGCAAACCATTCAGTCTTATCAGCTGAGGAAGTCAGAACCTCAAATTGATTGAATAAAGGAGGTATTGTGGATTTGCTGTTGTTCGGTACGCTCTTGTGGTGACGCCAATAATCTTAGGAACCAAACTTGTGAGATGCAATACGTTGTTTCATTGAGGAAACGCCTGCACTCATTACGGGCATAGACAAAAAGACATCTGTTGCAATCAGACATGTCGCTACGGTACAGAGGGAAGAAGTGATTCCTATGACCAATAGCAGCTGAGCAAGCAGCTGAGAACCAAAGGGATGAGTGCGATTTAACTTTCTATTTTCATGCGGGGATGAAAGCCTCGATTCCAGCTTTTACCCAGGAGGAGACATTGGAAGCGCATTTTTGAACGGGGAGATTAAAGATCACATTCCAGGTGACATCTCGAAGGAAATCACGGAACGAGTCCCAGTCAGCTTGTTGATAACAGAAAGATGTTATGTTGGTAGGAGGTTCTTTGCTGGGGGAGGAGTAGAAGGAGATGTTAACAGACACTACGGCATGATCGGAGTTGCCAAGAGGGCAGAGTTGCATGACATGACAAGACTCGGGGATGGAGGTAAAACAGAGATCAAGAAGGGAAGCCTTACTGTCCTGGTTATTGGGGAAACGGTTGGGAAAGTAAACCACGTGTGTGTGGGACTGAGTAATTGAAAAGTTAAGGGTTTGTATGTCAGCATGTTCAGTTATAGAATTTTCAAGCCACATGGTATGGTGGGCGTTAAAGTCACTGAACACGAAAATATGTGCAAATGGATGAAGAAAGATAACCATGTCTATATTATCAAAAATGCTATCCAGAACACCACAGTCTTGGAAGGATGGAGAACGATAGAGGAAGAAGAGGTAGCATACAGTATTGAGAAGGGATAGATATTAATGATCAAGAGATTAAAGAGAGAGCTCCCTGATCAGTGGGAGATGGTCTCTGACGTAAACTCCAAGCCATGCATGTGGGTTTTAGAGTCTTTTCTAAGGATATGAAGGTAACCAGGGATTGAGAAGTCAGAGGAGGGGATAGACGAGTTAAGGTTGTTCTCGCAGAGAGCTAGTATGTCAGAAGACTTCTCAACGAGGAACTATTCCACACTGTAGAAGTTAATTCGAGTACCACGAATGTTATATATATATATATATATATATATATATATATATTAATTAAAAAGAACAAAGATCATTGATAATGTCTCGAATAAAATCGACAATCTTAAAAAAAACAAGAGAACAAAAGGCCTAAAGCAAACTTACATACTCAGTAAAGTGCTCGAAGCTTAAATTGCCTAGACCGAGCAAAAATAAAAGAAGTTTAACAGCATTATATCACATGAAAGTATGGCCCTAGTTGTAACCCGAGTTTCACACTCACGCGATCATCAGGCGACTCGAACGGAAATGAAAGAAGGGAGGGGAGAATATTATATAACCCGTGAATATATATATATATATATATATATATATATATATGTGTGTGTGTGTGTGTGTGTGTGTGTGTGTGTGTGTGTGTGTGTGTTTTAAACGGTACAAAAACGTATTAAGGCATTATAAACTAGAAATTTTGTATTGTAGGCCATGATAAGTTTAAAATAAAACACACACCAGTCAACCGGTTTTTTTTTTGGGGGGGGTATTTTTTCTTTCCCTGTCCATTCATTCATGTCATCCATGACAGACTTTTTTCTTTTCCTCATAATCTTAATTCCCCGTTAACAGTTCTGATGAGAGGGGACGAAACCGGTCGACTGGTGTGTGTTTTATTTTAAACTTATCATGGCCTACAATACAAAATTTCTAGTTTTAATGCCTTAATATATATATATATATATATATATATATATATATATATATATATATATCAAAACCGGTTTCGAATCTCACCATTGTCGATTTGTCAAGAAGGAGCCTTCCTGATGTTCCCGGACTGCGTGCGGCACCTTTAGAATGTGCCTGAAAAACATACCACATGAGAGCCAAGCCTTTTGAGTAAAATTGTTTGGATGGAAGCTTTGGGGTCCGTCGATAGCTGTGCTAGCACGAAGCTACAAGTCATCGTGGCCAAGGCCTTGAGCGTGCTCGCCTTATGCAACTTGTTGATCACGCTTGATAACACGCTCTTTTCCAGAAGCTGTAACTAAGGACTGCTCAACATAGTTGCAGTATAAACCACAGGTTGGATCTGTGGGTGTTGAGCAAACAAAAATGTGCCTGAGCGAGTTCTGCAATAGGGATTGGCTAACCGCCTTAATAGACTGTTATCCTCGAATACGATTGGCCAGCTATTATACATGTATGTATATATCTGAGTGTGTGTGTAGGGGGGTGCATTTTCGTATTTATGCGTACTTGATTTTATTTTGGACCAAGTTCATAGAGTTATAAGTCCCATGTACTGGTCACGTCATTCGTATAGTGAAACCTCACATTCCGAGACGTCTTTTGTACGGAGAACTGTTATGTGGCAGAAGACATCACGACTAATCAACGAAACATTAGAAAGATCAGACTAAAAGAGATACAGGGGCGGGCTACCGACCAATCTGGTTGGCGCCCAGTTGTTCACCAAACTCCGTCAAACTGCGATAGAAGCCCGGCGTCAAAAAATTAATCTGCAAAGAAAAGAGCACCACAGGCGTTGGTCACAGGCACTGAATTCCACTGTTGCAGACTTGGTTTATGGAGCCACTCCGTAAACATTGATACATTTCATGTCAAAGTCTTCTTCAGAACTGAAAGACAACTATGACATATCTAAGTATGTTTATATATTAGAATATATCCTTTCTGTTTTTTTTGTATATGCGTGCGGGGATTGAACATGTAGCGTAAGAATAATCGGTGCGGAATGAGGGAACAGAGTTCAAATCCAACTTTGTGTTCTATTTTGTATGTATCCATTCCTGCTCCCACTAGACGTAGACTGGGCTCTCAATCG